GCGATGATGGGCTCAAGTATAGCAGGGATTGTGGGGCTGGCGCGGGATCGGGCAGTGTTTCGTTCTGCTGTGCATGGGGTCACTATGAGTCGGAAACGACTCGATGGCACTTAACAACAACAACAACATATCATTTGTAAAAAATCGGGTTAATACTGTACAATTTATGGTTCTGAGACAACAATATCAGTCTTTATCTCCTGTAATACAAGAGAATGATTCCTCATCTACATAACAAAAAAGGGGGAAATGTGAGGCCTGAGAAATCTTTCAACCAGAAGCCTTTAATATGGAGACTAACACGTCCCATGCTGAGTCCTAATGGCCTTTAATGTGGAGATTAACACATTCCATGCTGAGTCCTGATGCCTCCAGGTAGATCTTTAACCAGAAGCTTTTGGTATGGAAATTAACACATCCCATGCCTCAGAGCTTTTTATCAGAGATCTGCCCGGCCCCAAAAAGTCTCTTGCCCACCTTTGAAGGCTCCAACAGGTCTCACATCCCCCCAGATTTCGCACGTATCCATCCCCCCCGGATTTTGCACATATCAGAGAGTTCTGCCGGGTCTCACCCTCCTCCCCCCGGATTTCACACATATCAGAGAGTTCTGCATGGCTCCAAAAAATCTCTCACTAATCTTTGAAGCCGGGGGATTCCAACCTGCCCCCCAACTTCCCAAACTCCTGCCCTTAACCCAATTATCTACTCCACCCTATATTTTTTCCTATAAAAATGTGATAGTAAAAGAGCACGAGGCCTTTTGCCTAGGCCACTAAGTTGGCAAGAGCAGGGACCCTAACTCGAGTTAGAAAATAAACTTTCTTTTTGTTATTACATTATCCTGTCTGTGGTGGCTTCTTTGTACCGACATCATTCCTCTCCGGACTCGGGCCCAACAAAACAATATCCATACCTCACACCATACACAAAACTAGATGCAGATGGATCAAAACTTAAATGTGAAACCAGAACTATACAGTTCTTCAAGGAAAAAATAGGAGCATGTTTAAGACCTCTAATTTATGGCATCAATAGGCTGTCAAGTATAACCCAAAATGTTCAAACAGCAGAAGGTAAACATGATGAATGGGACCTTCTAAAAATTAAATTTTATGTGCTTCAAAAGACTTCACCAAAAGAGTCAAAAGAGAACCTACAGATTAGGAAAAAATATTCAGCAACAACATATCTGACAAGGGACTTACCTCTAAAATTTATAGAAAACTCCAACACCTTAACAATAAAAAGTCAAGCAATCCAATTCAAAAGTGGGCAGAAGACATGAATGGACACTTCACCAAAGAGGATATTCAGGAGGCCAACAAACACACAAAGAAATGTTCATGATCATTAGCCATTAGAGAGATGCAAATCAAAGCAACAATGAGATACAAATCTTGCCCCAGCGCTAATAGTAAAGTTCAACAAGACAGAAAATAACAAATGCTGGCAAGGATGTGGAGAGGTTGGGACTCTCATACACTGCTGGCGGGACTGTAAGTGATGCAACCACTGTGGAAAGCAATATGGCTATTCCTTGTTGTTGTTAAGTGCCGTCGAGTTGTTTCCGACTCATAGCGACCCCATGCACAGCAGAACGAAACACTGCCCGATCCCGCGCCAGCCCCACAATCCCTGCTATACTTGAGCCC